TCATCTGGACGATCACTAAATGTTATCGTCATGGCGAGTAATGGGGTTACATAGGCTAAAGGGTCGAACAGGAAACGATCAATTTGGAAATTTTGCTTTTCTTTCACACACTGGAAAAAGTGTCATTGACTATGTCTTATTCTCCACGAGTTCGTACAAAAGTGTGCAAACTTGCCATGCCAGAATCTGACCACCTACCACTAACATGCATATTTACTTCAGACACTTAGGTCAAACTACATAATAAGGCAGGACAGCAGCTGAGACCTTGGAATAGACTTAAGTGGAAACCAAACTTAGGTCAAGTATATATTAGCAACCTAAGAAGTAAAATCAGTAGCAACAGTGAGCTACAAATCATATTTGTGGAGAACCTGGATAATTATGACATTAATGAGACTGTAAGCAATCTATGTATGTATCATTTGTGAATGTGCAGCTGCAAGTGGTATGCAGTCAGAGATGTGGGTTGTGGGGCACTTTCAAAGTCAGCCCAAGTGGTGGGACCAGGGATGTGAGATTCGCAAGCGTGAGACATATATTAGGCATATACTTAGGTGTATACATAGGCTTAGATTATCTGGCTCGGCTACTGACTATAAGAACTATATATCATCCAGAAACATGTTTAAGAACCTACGTAACCACAAAAAATGCCAGGTATGACATATCGGATAAACCAGAATTGACGAGAGTAATAAATAATGGAAGGGTAACAACAACAAAGAATTGTGGAAGTTTATCAAATGCTTGAATAGACAAGGGAAGCCTGACACTGAAGCAGTCTCGCTAGTGGAGTGGTTTGAGCACTTTTCGTCACTGCTAAACAACAGCAACTTCGATACTGATTTTTGTACACACGTACATGAGTATATTAGTGGCTATGACGATCACACATACTGTAGTGACTATATTGAAGATGGTTTAGTTAAGGTTAGTTCTGTGATTTATGACCTTCCCAGTGGTAGAGCCCCAAGGCCTGATGGAATGTTGAACGAGTATTTAAAAGGTATGTCTCATATATTTTTATCATATATTCATATGTTCTTCAAGCGTGGACGGAGGCAATAATATTCCGTATTCATATGAAAGGTAAAAAAAACAGAACCTAACAATTATAGCAGTATCACTTTGTTATCAGTTTAAGGAACGGTATTTACCAAATCATTGAACAACGGGCGTTCAAACTGGTGTGATGCTGAGGACAAGTTATATGAGGAAGAAGCTGGCTATACGTAAGGAAACCGTACCATGGACAATATCTTTTGTATTGCAGTCGCTAGTTACAAATACAGCGTTGCTATTGTCTATGCATAGATTTCTCAAAGGCATTTGAAAATGTTCAGCATCACTTGTTGAAATATGTATTATTGCAGACAGGTGTGAAGGGAAGTTATTTCATCTCTGTACAGTCAACTAAAGTCTTGTGTGCTTGTAATGGGTCTTCACTATTTGAGTACTTTTAGTGTACATTTGAAACCAGGCAAGGGTGTATGATAAGTCCACTATTGTTCACTTTGTTTTGAATGAGTTGCTAGATAATCACTAGACAAGTAATTGCAAGGTTATTTTAGTGAATGAGTATGTTGAAAATATTACCTTGAAAATGTTTGCAGATGATACTGTTAATGTTGGAGATTATGTGAGAAGATTACAATATCAGGATTCTGCAGTCAACGTGTATTACTCTTGAGGCAGGGTCTGCCAGTATCTTGGTGTAGTCTTCACTCCTAAGCTCTCATGGAGTTTGGTCAGAAATACCCTAGCACAACAAGCAGGGAAAAGCCGTGTACATTTTTTATTTGTTTTGTTTTTAAGAAAATCTAAGCTCAACAGGTGTAAATCCAGCTAGAGTCCATGCAGGTAGCAAAAAGTAATGTAAGTCCCCATGGTTCCCACTATGGTGATCTACCTTCAGTTGTTGGCGATCTATAGCCCGTGTTTTATATTGCATTGTCTTCTTTAATTAATATCTTTAAGTTTTACATGTTAGTTTTATGTTCATATCTGTGCTACTCTAGTATTTTTACTGTCCATCGTCGACAGGTTTTACTCTCCAAAATGTCTTCATTTTTAATGTATAAATTGTTTTCGTCAGGATATAGCTGAGATATTGCCGATGTGACGTTAATTATTACTCACTCACTCACTCTAAGCTCAACATCAAAGAGTCTATGTTTCTATTTGACAGGATGGTTTCTCCCATCTTATGTTATGCATCAGGAGTTTGGGGGTTTGAACGTGTTCAGGTTCTAGAAATTTTTCTCAGAACAGTTCTTCACGTCAATTCAAACTCCCCAGCAGCAGTTTTATACGGACTTCGGAAGGTGTTCATCTCAATAAAATACTAGTTGTAAAATTTTGTACATGCCCACAAACAGATATCCAAAAGCTTCTTAACGGATGTTGTATCAGTTTGATGGAGTTGGTAGGTCCACATGGGCAACAAGCATCAAATATTTGTTCAATATTCACGGATTTGGTATAGTTTGGCTGGATCAAGATGTTGGTTATGTCTCCCGTTTTCTAGAGTTTGTGTGGAACGGCTGCAAGATTGTTGGAAACAAACATAGGCATATACCATAGGTGACACCAGTAAGCTAAATAATTATTTCACAAGCACATCTCTGTAAGAACCTGAAATGTATCTGTACAACTTGAAAAGTAAAAAGTTAAGAATTATTCAGATGTATGATGTGGGAATATTGTAAATATTGTTTTATAATTTGAATCTATCTGCAGTTGAAGACTTGTATTACAAGTTGAGAAACAAATATTTAAAAGTGTTTGTTCAAGCGATCTATGTAATGTAGACAAATTTAAGATTATAACAGATAAATACTATGTCAGAATCTTTAGCAGTGTATATTCTAAAGTGCACACAAAACAGACAGGTGAATGTTGACAGCTAAGGGAGATAACTGACAAATTTGCGACCGCTTTATTTACTTTTGTGATGGGGAAACTTAACCACTGTAATTGTTACTGATACACATTGTGACTCGAAATTTGGATGTATCTGCAGATGAAGACGAAGTGCACTTAATCACTTCATGTCATTTGTATAACAAGTTGAGAAACAAATATTTAAAAAGTTTTTGGTCAAGCGATCTATGTAATGTAGACACATTTAAGATTATAACAGATAAATACTATGTCAGAATCTTTAGCAGTGTATATTCTAAAGTGCACACAAAACAGAAAGCTGTATGTGAACAGCTAAGGGAGACAAATTACAATTTTACCAAGGCTTCATTTACTTCAGGTGATGGGAAATCTAACCATTATAAATGTTAATTATGTACATTGTTACTTGACAACAGACAGACAGACAGACAGACACAGAGACAAACACACACATGTACTCTGGGCTGGAGGCCTTTGATAATGAATCTTGAATCTTGGATATCGTAACGATCCTAAATCCTTCTATATGGTATCTTTGGTTCTTTTTTCTTGTGTTACGTACGGAATGTTCCCATTCCCAGTCCTGTTCAGAAACACGAAGGGCAGGAAGATATCCGTCTGTGGACAGCCTTGCTTCCAGCGGTCAACGGTCTCTCATCCGACTGCTATAGCTGACGTCAATGTTGGCTAATGCCATGATCATGTGGACAGCATTTGTTTTGGTGTTTATGGATTCTGAAACTTGCTGTACATTTTACATGTCTCTAATGGCACTTTTCCCAGTCCTAAACAGAAACAAAGGTATGAAGATATATGTTGGTGGACAACTGTGCCGCCAGCGGGCAACGGGCACCCAACCGTCCGCTATAGCTGACGTCCATTGTCAACAAGCACTGACAGGAAACAACCTCACTATTCAGACCAGCGATGTTCTCACGCTGTGCGAGGTACAGATATTTGGTAGGTTAACATGCGCTTACGGGCGTTTAAAGGAAATGCTTTGATATATTTTTAATTGTAACGCACTTGTATCACAAGAAGATTGCGTAATGTGAGGAAAAAGCCTTAAAATTGATTTTGACTATTTCTCAAAACACCTGATGACAAACCAAACATCCAAACCACCTATGACATTATAGACAACAAATGACATAGTCTACGAATAACATTGTAGACAACAGGGCAGCAAAATAAGGGCTCTTGATTTAAGAGCAGTTACCATTGTTAAACGTTTTAAGGCTCTTTATTGCAGTGTTTTATTGTTTGGAGGGTAAGAGTTAGCTAATAATCCTTATAATGAAATGTGATATTAGAAGGTTTGGATGTTATCAATTACATTTCATATTTGTTCCCTTTTGATGTTTGTTTTCAGTTTGTAGCGACGGCTGGTTTGGTGAGGACTGTGACAAACAGTGTCACTGTTCACTAAACACAGAAGTATGTGACAAGATCACTGGACAGTGTCTGAGTGGATGTGCTGCTGGATACATGGAAAAAGACTGCCAAACAGGTACAGGTTCTGAGCATCTTATCGACGGAATTCGGTAATATGGACACATTTTGATATGAACACCCCAGTGTATGGATGTAGTATGGATGACGCTGTTATTACTGCCATGATCTTGAACGTTCATGTTCCCCTTCAACCGTATGAGTGAGTGAATGATTTGAAATGCATAGTCACATCGGCAATGTGTCAGCCATATCGTGACTAAGACAGGTAAAACGTTAACAATATGTAATATTAGAATATTTGTCGACAAAGGACAGTTAACCGTATGAAGATCCAACGTGTTAACTAACGAGATAAATCAGTAACCAGTTGGAATGAAAATCATAATATGTCATGGCAGGCGCCGTTAATATATAGATTGTCAATAACTTTTGCCAGCTCCATTGAATACTTACAAACGTTCATATCTCGTAAGGGAAAGGTATTTGTTACTTACATTTGCCTTCTTTGAAAAAAACATCGGATTTCTCTTAGATTCGTGTTTTATATTATCATGATCAGTAATGATGTATTGGATTCATGCAATGCGTGTCTAACGTATGGCACAGTTGAACAATCGATTCTTTTATGTCATGTAAAGCGTGTTCAGACGGTTACTATGGAAACTGCACCTCTAAGTGTGGAAACTGCCTCAACGCTGCCTTTTGTCACAAGTCGACAGGTATCTGCCCTGGAGGTTGTTCAGCAGGGTGGCAAACTGACACCTGTCTTCAACGTGAGTACCGTGTCTTTCCTTCAAGGGCAATGGTTTGGGTTTAACAATATTCTTAACATATTCTGATTTACGTAATTTGGCTATAGCTCGCTTTTGTAATCATACTTTCTCAACGAACTTTGATGATTATCCTTTCCAAGATTTCTCTGCATAGATATATGAATGACATAAAACCTAGCTTTCCAGTGTCATTGATATTCTAGTGGTTCTAAATTCGATTTCACCAGGACTATGATTCATGAAGTTTAGTGCAAATAGAAACGATAAAACCGTTTCGATAGCCATGAGTGACAGCGTCTCTTGTGGGCATCTGTTGATGAATAACTATCAAATAATGATGATATAATGTGAAGTAGAGAGTCTGTCTTTGCCTTTCGTTCACAAACGTCACCAACACGCAAAACTAATTCAAAATTTCAAAGCCAAACAGAGTCCACAAGTACAAATTAAAACACGCATTGCATCTTACGTATTTTGCGACACGGATGTGTCTATAGAAATATCCTACACATGACGATCATTCGCACTTTTGAACGACTCACTGATACATTTACACCTTTCACTTCGACCAAACACCTTTTGGTTTTATACTTGTACAGCGTGTCAGGGTGCATGGTTTTGCTGTGCCTTTCAGTGTGGAAACTGTCTTGATGAGGATGTGTACCATGTGTAATAAGTCGACTGGAGTATTTTCTTAGGGATGTGCAACCTCTGGATTTATGTTTCCAAATGATGTTTCTAATTCCATTTGTTATACGTTCGGGGGTAAAACACGTTTCGTTTATGTTCACAGGGTGTCCGAATGGCTACTATGGTCCGAACTGTGGCTTCCAGTGTGGCAACTGTGTGGAAGGTGATGTTTGCAGTAAGACAAATGGAACATGTCCTGGAAGATGTGCAGCAGGGTGGATCAACGGCACGTGTCATCAAGGTAAGTACTTCATGTGCAGTATATCATATGAACACCAAACTAAATAATACCAGATTTGAGTAACATACCATGATGCTATTTATTTATTTGAACTATTGGTTCAAAGGAATATGAAGAAAGTAGACCTAGCTAAAGTAGCTTATTTCCTCAGGCGAGTAAACGTGTGTATATGTTTTCAATTCATATTGATGTTTCAATTTACACATCACGGGAGAAAACTGTACCTCTAACATGCCATCACATTCACGATAAAACGCTGAGTATAAGTATCAAACGGCCTATTTGTGTTCGTTTTGCAGACTTAAAAGATGAAACTTTTGAGTAATGACAGGTACGTGATGAGTAATGTGCATCCATATGATGGTGCTTGAATGTTTGAATGAAATGTTCATGTCACAAAGTGTCCTTTATTACATTGACCAAGTTTCATGTCGATTACCATTTCAGTTAAAGAACACTTTTCTTGTAGCATGTCCAGATGGTTACTATGGTACTGGCTGCACGTCCAAGTGTGGAAACTGTCTGGACAACGATGTGTGTAACAAGTCAACGGGAACATGTCCCAAAGGATGTGCACCGGGGTGGATGAATGATACGTGTCATAACAGTAAGTCATTGATTTGATTTCCATTATGCTTCTTCCATATATAACTACGACTGTGTAAAGCGTGAACTATGCTTCAGTCTAACACTTCATTTGTCATTGAGGTTTGTGCGTACATCTGAAGTTGTATCATGGAGTGAAAGAACAGATCATCAGGATATCATAAGTACTTATTATTTCTGTAACAAGTGTTGTTTAGTACCAGCTTTGGAATGATTGGATATTTAAATTTCATTGACGCGATCAATTGTATTTCTAGTTTATATTTACAGATTAAACGTGACAAGGAGTTGTTGATGTATGACGAGGGCATAAAATATTCGCTAAAATAACTGAATTTGCTTTGGGTCAAGCAGTCTGTTTGTAATCGTAAAGTGCGTAAAGATTAATTTTGTTCTGGCCATGAACACAATTTACCAACTTAATACTCGTGAACATAGCACTGCAATGAAAACATTCTCCAATGGGGACGATAATAGCATTGCCTAGATACAGGATGTTCTTACTTATATTAGTATGCACACCTGATCAGTTCATGTGTCTATCATCACAAAGAAAATGTCCTTTGTCAGTACGTCTTTTGCATGCGCCCACATGTTTATGTGCATATGTTCTCGCTACTTGTGTTATATCTGTGTTTCTCACGTTCCAGCGGGTGTGTAGAAGGGAGAAAGAAGAACGTGTCATAACTGTAAATCATTGATTGGATTTCCATTTATGTTTCTACAATATAAGATACCATAATAAACACGACTGTGTAAAACATAGTGTGAACTATGTGTCAGTTTGTCATTGAAGTTTGTGCGCACATCTGCAAGTGTATAATGGAGTGAAAGTACAAGTCACCAGAATACCAGAAGTAATCATTAATTGTGTAAAAGTGCTAAGAACTAACTTTAGAACGTTTTGATATTTGAATTTCATTCACACAAACAATTCTAATTCAGTGTGTATTCACAAATCAGGGCTGCCGAGGAGGGGGGTTGATATTTGAAACGGACATAAAATATTCACTAAAATTGAATTTGATTTGAACATTAAATACAACTTCCATGATATTCATTTATAAGGCATGTATATTACGTGACACAGACGCACACATGTAAACAAGACTTGATTAACATTATAACATACTGGTTATTTCAGTGTGTGAAGACGGGAAGTACGGAATTGGTTGTACGTCAGGATGTGGTCACTGCAAGAACGACACAATCTGTGACAAAACTAACGGAACCTGCGGGAGTGGATGTGATGGGGTGTATTCAGGTGCCCGCTGCGAGCGTAAGTATGTACGTACGTGTATGAACTTAGAAAACAATCGTGAGTGGATGTGATGGAGGCTATTTAGGTGCCTGTTGCAAGGGTAAGTATATACATAAATATCTGAACATGCATGGAAGGAACAGATTTGCAGATGAACGGGGAATGTTTGATTTTGAGTAACATCCATAATCACTGTCAACCCACCAACCTAAGTTTCGAAACTCTTAAATACAGATCGGAAACAAATAGTCCCATGCTTGCAGAATTTGCGTAATATTACGCTGCCCTTGCATGTTTAGTCATGTGAATATTAGTTAGAAAAGAATTTGTTATACACACATATAGTTGTACACACTGAGAAGAATTGTACACAATCACGATTTCCCGACCAAATTTATCCTTGCTAGGTGCTGTACACATACAGTACTTACGAACACGCACACGCACACACACATGTGCATGTATTCTTGTTTGCGCATACAAGGACATCCAGGGCAACTATTAGATTTGTTATTTTATCTGATTATATTTCTCTGATATCTAATATCGCTTTTGCCAAGCTAATGTTTCAATTCTACTAAACCAGTTACAAACAAAAGCAATATTTCTTCTAGTTTGTTTGTAAGAATATTGATAAACAAATAAATTGTATCTGTTTTAGCCATGCAGGTTACGGTTAATGAAAAAGACTCTATGGCTGGAATAATTGGAGGGACAGTTGCAGCTCTGTTGGCAATTACTATCGTCATAATCGTCTTAATTATCATCTTCAGGCGGAGGTAAGAGAAATTTACGGTTCATTCCTTTCCATTAGACTCTACTTATCTTGGATTGTGTTTCTGTACGCATCAAACTGCTAAATTGTATTTTTGTTTTACCTTTTCACTTTTATATTTTTACCTTTTGTATGATATCTCGGCCATTTCAAAGTACATTAAAACTTACCAAATATTTTAAACGTAGCATTTTTGTGATTTTTTAATCATCGGTTAACTTTCCTACAATTGTCAGTGGTGATGGTATAAATCCAGCTTGGGTGAATGCAGGCAGCAAAGTCACAGTAATTCCCCATGGTCATTAGTACGGTGATCTACCTTCAGTTCCTGGCGATCTGTATCCTGCTGATATATTGTATTGTCTTCCTAAATATAATATTTTTAGATTATTATGCCAGGTTTACACACCATCCGTGATGCTCTAGTTATTTCACAGTCCTTCGATGACTAGATCCTTAACAACTTGTGTTTATTGTGTATGCAAAATATTTCTTGTCACAATATGGCTGAAATATTGCCAAAATGACGTTAAATCACTCACTCACTCACTCACTCTCTGCGATTTCAACAAGGTAGATATTTTCAGTATGTAATAACTTTCGTTTCTCTTGAAGGAAGGAACCAAAGCACGATAACGAGAGGCTGCAGTCTAATCAAGATGTACCTAGTTCAAAAGCAAAAACTGGTGAGATTGTAATATTGTCAGCTAATTTCAATATTGATAATGTCACATCCCAAGTGAAACTATGCATGCAACCACAACGCATATTAGAGGCGAAAGAATATGGGAATGTGTACATATGTATAAAGGTAAGTTATCATACCATAAATTTCATGTCATCGTTTTATCTCAGATTAACAGTGGTATATTGCTAAGTTGTGTTACCATAAAAGTGCAGTTTACTCATTCCATCTAGAACAACATCTCGAACGTTTTCAGACAAGGCAGCTAGAATGAAATCCAGTTCAACACCAGCGACCAAGGACGACGAAGACGAAGACGCTACCCTATCTGTTGAAGCTGAAGTTGACGTAGATAACGACGCTGTCGCCACCTACTACAACTTTGTACCTCCTCACATGAAGCTGGACACTCTGCCACAGTGTATAATTGAGAAGAAAACGAAGGCCACTTTTCCAACAGAATTTCAGGTTTGTGAAAATATATACACATCGTGCTTACACATCCCATTTTGGGTTTGAAAACAATGGGACAACTGAGTGCTTAATGTGGATCTTCACACGGAAATCACTGGTTCGATTCCCCAGACCAACAATATTACTACAGCTGAAAACGGTATCACATAATCTGTTTTGATTAGTGTATATTTTCAGTGAGATTTATCTCTTGTGAAAACACCACTTTTACCATTTTTAACAAATACAATGAGCCACACAACAAATCTATACAAATCTTGTCTTCAAGAGACAAATGCATGTATTTTGGTGACGCACATGATCATGCTCGCCTTTATTGTGACACAGCATTGAGCGAGATAAGAAGCTACGGAACATGAACACGACTTTGCAGGACGACAAAGAGCCATCATGAGATAGTAATATCTAAATAAGTTTTACGAATCCTTGTATTTATAAAGCGAAAACATCACAAACGTTCATTGTCATGGCTTGTGAGAAGTTAGCAATATATAAGTAGTATATGTTTCCAACTTTGTGATTTACTTACCACATATATGTTATAGGCCATCCCATATGGAGCAAAGAAACCACATAAATTCGGCAAGCAGCCAGAAAACAAGATCAAGAACCGCTTCCTTGCTCTTTATCCATGTAAGGTGATAACTGCAGATCAGACCACGTATTAAAGACAAGTACATGTAAATATATATGCTGTGATTGTGACAACCATACATTAATAATAAAGAACAAAGAATAGTTTTCATGAAAACATATATAGGTCCAAAACAAGATATCAAGACTACTCAAAGCAAATGTTAGGCATCACTCCACATATATAGAAAGTTTCATGCTGATTGTTGCGTTCTCCAGATGATGAATCGAGGGTAGTGTTGGCAGATGGGGAGGATTACATCAATGCCAATTACATCGGTGTAAGTAACACTATATAACCTTTATACTGTCAACAACGACATGTACAGAGAATACTCAGTCTGTATTGTTTTATGTTAAGGCAAAGTTGTGTAGGACATTGGGTGGGTCTCGAAAACGATCCAATAGTGTCACTGAGGTAATACAACATTTCCTAGACATTATGATGATTCTGCCTCCTTAAACCTGGAAAAAATTAACTAGGTGAAATTACGTATGCAAATGTAACGTTAATCACACATTGCGATATTGAAGCCAGAGGTTCATGGCATTTATTCAGCACATGCAAACAAAGTGTAAATGTACTTTATGTTATTTTCAGGGTTATGATGATACTCAGAAGTACATAGCCACACAAGGTACGTAAGATGTATCATGCGGTTATAGGATATGTGTGTGTTGAACGCGCCAGCTTGTCTTGTATATACTATACTAGATATGACCTTCTTAAACCTAAAGAAAATATATTGACATCACAGGACCCAAGCCGGGGACAGTCACTGACTTCTGGCGGATGGTGTGGCAGGAGGACGTTACCCAGATAGTCATGCTGACGAGGCTGATGGAGATGAACAAGGTGGGATGTGCTTCATGGTAGCTCCAAGGTTCCATTGAATATTTAGTGAATTATCTACATGTCTACATACTGATAATGTGTGTCAATATATGCATGTACCCTGAAGGTGGTGATAGGTTCCAGAGCAAGGGGTGAACTAATCCCTTGCATTTTGTTTTCTAGAAGAAAAGTGCAAAATATTGGCCTGATGCGACCAAGACCGAAAGCTACGGAAACGTCCAGGTTAATAACAAGGATGTGGCAACAAGAGCTGATTACACAATCTCTACTTTCCTGGTACAATGTTCTGTAAGTGAATGAATTTTGTGATGGAATATCTTACACTGTTTCTTGTCATTACATTTAATGAAAAAGTACGTTATTGCAGCCAAGGAAATTAAAGAAGAAAGTAAAGTCTCCTGTGTGATCTGTATTTTCCCTCCAAACGGCTCATTTGGGAAACATTTGTATCCACATTGTAAACGTTAATGTAAATGTCAGTTTCTCTCTCCTTAGTCAGACCTGAAACAGCATAAACATACTATGTTTCCTTGTGTATTTTCTATGTGTATCTATTTTTCTGCCTGATACGTATTATGTTGATTGGTTATATTATCTTGATTGATTAATTGACAAAAGAATTTCTTAATTGTTATTTGTCACTACACAGGGTGTCGAGAGGACTGTGACGCACTACCACTTCACATCTTGGCCTGACCATGGTGTTCCTTCTGCTCCTGCCCTCGTCAACTTCTGGAGACTGGTCAAACAGGGGGACATGGGCAGGGGACCCATGGTGGTGCACTGCAGGTATGTTTGACTGTGAGACAGAAAAGTATTCGTTCACTATGGGCAACTTCACTGATACGTGATATAACATAAAAGTACATTTGCTCATTAAGTACAGATTCTAGGTGTTGGATATGGGGGCATATTACAGGTACGCTTTAGATGTAGCCATTGGTGGGGCTGTAGATATGTGACAGAGGGTGGACAGTTTCTGCACACATTGTGATGCAGTTATATACTCATACTTGACTTGACTCGTGAGTAAGCAATACAAGTGAGGCTGTAAAGACCTGCAGTGAGTGAGTGAGTTTATATTTAACGTCACATCGGCAATATTTCAGCCATATCGTGACGAGAACATTTTACATTGAAATGGAATATGTGTATATTATAAAACCTGTCATCGAAGGACAGTAAAACAACTAGAATATCACAATTAGTTTTAAAACTAGTGTGGAAGGTTAAAAATAATAGCACTATCAGGACAATACAAGATAAAAACAGGCTATAGATCGCCAACAACTGAAGGTAGATCACCATACTAGGGACCATGGGGGTAAAGACCTGCAGGCTAAAGCTGAAACTGAAGCTACAATGTAATTAAAAGATGGCATGCTGATTTATGTATTCTGACATGCGAAAGGATACGGCCTATTCGTGGATATATTAGGCGACCAGTTGCGGGGACCACATACACGAATCCCACGATGTAATAATTAAAAATGATTGTTTGAGCAATTTCATGATTTGAATCCAGTCACTTGCAGAATGTGCCGCCTGTGGTCCTGGACGCGTCATTCACGTTACCCCAGCTGTCTTCTCTTGTGAAGATTATAGAGAACGAAGTGCATGTTGTGCAGTGATCTTCCCCTTCAGTTTATAACTACACTCAAAGTCATATTGTTAGGAAGTTTTTTTCTTTTTACGTTTCAAGCGCCGGAGTGGGGAGAACAGGAGCATTCCTTTCCCTGGACTACCTGATGGATGAAGCTGAGAGTAACAACAGGGTCAACGTTAACATGTGTGTTGGCAAAATGAGACAGAACAGGATGAACATGGTCCAGACAGAGGTATGTGTAAGATCTATCCATATCAGGTCAAATATTTTACAAACATGTCAACAGGCCTTGTAAGGGGACCCGTGTAAGGTGGGCCTGCGTGAAGATTACAGTCTTTCTACCAGCCAATACTATATACACACTGATATGAACTACCGTGTACATGTGCATAGATATGACTGTTTATCCTTTCTGTTCAGAGTCAGTACGAGTTTGTCCATGATGTTGTTCTGGAAGCCCTCCACAGTCGGGGAACGCTCTACACTTTACCAGACTTTGACAAAACATTCGGACTCAGAGAATCCTTCACCACTCAACAGCAGACCATGCTGAAGGAAGAATTCAAGGTATTTCTGTAGATCATCAGCTTAAAGTGGGATGAGAACAGTCCCCGCTGCAGAAATTACTCAATGTATAACGAGAGCAAGTCCTTGTCGACCAATTCTAGGTATCCAATAGTGAGTGAGTTAAAATTATATATATATATTAATATATATATTAACAATAATTAAAGATAGAGTATAAAATCATGTCAAAGAAGGACAGTAACACAACTAGAATATCACAAATATAAATGTAAAACTATAAATTAAATCTAAAACATTTTAACTATAGAGGACAACACAATATAAAAAATAGGCTATAGATCACCAACAGCTGAATATAGATCACCATACTAGGGACAGGTATCCAACAGCAAGTCCTTGTTGAAGTCCAGGTCATGCTGCTGATTCAATTCAATTTTTCAGCAAAGCATACGGAAGAAACAATCCAAAGTATCTAAACAGCTAGATCATGTCGTATTTTGCTCAGTGAGGTAAACAGGTATACATTTTTTTGTTTATTTCAGTTACTGAGAGAGCTGGCATCTAACCTTACAGAAGCACTGCAGGACAACTTCACACGCACTGCTTCCAGAGAACTTCGACAAAAACAGGAGCTTGGATATTCTTCCCGGTACAAACAGCTTGTTCGAAGTCAAAGTACCAGCTTTTAGTAAAATGTTTTGTCTTCATGACTAACATTTCACGTTTAAGATGATCACCATCGTAAACGAAATGTAGTGACGAGGTTTATTTTCTACAAACAAAACACATGAGCCATCCAAACGTTTTAATTCAAATGAAACACATTATACATGTGCAGTGTATATGATTCAGTGGCAACGACACTATTTCTAATCGGACTGAACAATGATTTGTTTTGTTAAATGCAAAATACCAATAAGCATTCCAAATCACCTATCACAATAATTACTTATGCCGTGACGAATAAGTAGTGGTATCATATGTTTAAGGAAATAATTCGAGGCCGTATCTGTGTACACCTGTCCAGAAGCGGAATGACTACATCAACGGAGTATTTCTACCAGTGAGTCGATAATAACCATCAAGATACGAAACAATTACAGCCATAGTGACTGTTTTCCAAAACCGTTTGTAAAAATACAGTTTTGCACGTCATCTTTACACATATATGTCACGGGATGTGTTGTGAGGTAAATTCCAAACTAACATAATAAACCATGTACAACATACGATGATCCGAACACGATTGAACCTACTCCAAAATCTTAGAATAGAAGGGCATTGTCAAACATATGATTTTTGTTTCAGTCAACTCTGCATCTGTCAAGCCTGATCGTCACCCAGACCCCGCTACCAGACACTGTGGTGGACTTCTGGAGACTTGTGTATGACCATGACTGTTTCACCATCGTCTGTCTGGATGACGCACAGGTACATATTTGGGGCAACATCTCATTTTATTATCAAACTAACAGCCATACATTATTTTAGCATCATGTGGACGGTTTGTCTCATTGATGCACTGAGATTTATTTCCATCCAATAAATCTCCATTTTTGCAAAGCATATTTATGTTCCCAGTTTGTTACGACAGACGCTGTCTAGTCACGTCGGTGCTTCTGTAAACAATGTACATGTCACTCAATAATCACTGAGAAGAATTACATCTCAGCTTTTGTTTTGTTACGACGATTTGAAAAAAAGAGAAACAATGATGTGCTTTCATGTCGAAATGTTTCAGCTCCCCTAGTAGTAGAGAGAAAGACAGTCCGGGACCAGTTCCAACAAAAGCCTCTGCAAAGCCTTATTTACCAAATAAGGCTTTTGTCGGACCCTTAGCTCTTGCTACCATTTCCCCTACTATGAAAAAGTTTGAGACGCTAGCGGGGTACGAACGCCCAATGTTATACCTTCTAGCCGCGCTACTGAGCTACCGGGGACTTGGCTGAAGTTCATCTATGCCGTGTTGACAGGAGGTAACACTGTACCGTACGGTACGATCAATAATTCCGCTCTTACAAACCCCCCTACCTGGCCCATCCCTCAAGTAGTATAAGTTAGGCTCGTCTGCTTTGATGTCCACTTTATCTATGTTGTAAGTTTTGACTGACCATATAGGATCGGTGGCTCGCTTACGGCTATCACCCTCGTGTTCCCCCGGCTGGTATAGATACCTCACTAGGGCCCTATCTGGTATCTGTTTCTCCTTCCCACGTAATGGAGCAGCCGGCTCTGCAACTATTGATTTTAGTTTGATAGCGTCTGCCGGTTTCTTATCCGTGAGCCGGGTGACTTCATGGTTGATTGCCGACACCACCTTGGGTAACCTCGCGACCCATTCAGTCGATCGTTTTCCCGGGGTTACCATCTCCCTAGCATACTGATGCCCGAATAAGCGCTCAGCCAAAGTCCTATTAAATCTCTCAACTATGGCTTGGCTGCGATGGGCTCCGGCCGTGCCACGCCTGACCTTTGTATCGTGTTTGGCTAGCAGTTGTGACACGGCACCCATGAATTCCCGTCCGGGGTCAACTTGCAGCTCTGTTGGCCAAGTCAGCGGACTGCGTTTGTATATGCGTTCGAATCCTCTGGCTACCTGGGCCGAATCTTTCGTGGTCAAGGGCTCGGCTTCCTTGTAGCGACTGGCTACGTCCACTACGGTTAAGGCATACTTGTACCTCTTGTCGTGGGGTAGGAACAGTAGGTCTGCCTGGTGAACGCTATTAGGTATGTTAATACCGAACCTCCTTCTAGGCACGTAGCGTGGTGCCGGCAAATAGATCTGCCACAGGGCTTGTTTTTCAAGCCACGCTTTGGCTTCCTCCGGGGGTACTCGCGCCATTTTAGCCAGCTTATCTACAGCGCTAGCTCCTTTCCAGTACCCACGCGGGCTATAGTAAATAGCCTCAAACTTTCTCTGGTTCCGTGACATGTCGTCCCGATATTTATATCTATGTTCTTGGTTCAATTTTCTCATGCCCATACGCGTACGTGTTTATCCCATCAATAGCTATCCAACGTTTAGTGTCCATAGGCGACAGGGACGTCTTGTTTATAGTCAGTCCGTATATCTTATGCCCATCACTTCTAAGTGTGTTCATTTTATGCCTAAAGGTACGGGTCTTGAACAGGGCTTCCTTGAATCTGGCGTGTTTGATGTGTTGTTTCACCACATACTTCTTAACACCCTTAGCCTTCCGGATTTCACCATTGTCGGCCTTCAGTATGGAGTACATCTTAGGCCTCAACCCTATGTACTCGGCTATGGGCGTGCCAGCACACTCGTCCTTCATCTTACCTAGGACCTTTTTTATTTACCGTACTGTGTATGGCATGGTCCTTAGGGTAGTCGCTGGTGTCATACAAATCGAGGTGTTTTTCCATGTCAACGTACACGTCCTCGGTTCGAATCTCCATCAGCAGGGAATCCGTGTCAGTGTACAGAACTTCACACCTGTCGCCGTACTGTTTCTTAAGTTCGTTGTAGTAAAAGTCGTACATCAGGTGTTTGGATAAATCGAGGATGCTCATCCCCACGTAAACAGGCCGGTTGAATTTTATGTGGCTTTTCTTCATGTGTAGGGCAACTAGGTCATCGGTGAATATCTTGCTACGGTTGAATGCCGGACTGGCTATCAGTCTCCTGAGCTTGTCTTCCTCATTCGACCGAACCAGCTTCACGGTCACGCGTTTCCTCAGGTTCTCCATAGTCTTACCAAACACCGAGTTGTTCATGAGCTTGTAGAGGTTTTTCTCAAAGTCACTGGTGGCCAGCTTTCGGAGGTCCGTGTTCATTCTGATGTAAGGCTCCATCCAGGGGCTCTGGGTGAACACGAGCACCCTGTGTATTTTGGTCAGCCTCATACCCAACGACAGGTACAGCTGTAGGTTGCGATAGTGAACGATGTACTTGGTCTTATTCATTAAGTTAGGCACGAGTTTTTCAACGTCTGTCACACGCCCACCTAATAAGTTATGTTGGTACTCAGACATCCAGTCTGGGTTAACCCTCATACGTTCGGGGGCCAGGGGGTAGCTATTGTGTGATGCGTGTAATTCCTTGGGGTATTCCAAGTCAACCTCGAGGATATAACCTTTGTTTGAATCCGGTGCGATGCTCATAACATCGACCTCATGTGACGCCCATTCGAATCCCCCCTGTGGGTAGATACTGGCTCATGGCCCAACCGTACAGATTGTTGGCGTCGAGGTAGAGAATGTGATTGGTTGGCTTGCTAGGGTCGTAGCCCTTAACGTATTGATTATTTGCTTTCGCGTATCGTTTGGTTGCCATGGAGATCCCACCTCGCAAGCCTTTCTCAATGAATAGGTGCATGTCGTAATCAGTAAGCAATTCCAACTTAACTCCGGTCTTTTTAAGCAAGGCATCCCACGACAGACCTGGGCTGGTGTAATACCATGCGGGGTCGAGTTTATACTGCTTGAAACACGTCCGCCTAAACGTCTCAAACACGTCGGCTAACAGCAGTACATCCGTCCTCAAGTACAGGTCGTGATAATCCCCCAGGTTCTTACAACCCAGTTTATTCCATACGTTAATCGCGTGCGAGTAATCGTCTTGGGATATTTCCGAGTCTGTCAGATTGCTGTAAAATTCTCTGATAGGGGGTAGTCTGGTCTCGGTGAACTTGACCCAACTATCCATGTACTCATAAGGGTACACACCCTTCCTCATAAGCAGGGGTCTAGTCTCGGCGTCTGTGTATCGGTCGGTGATAGGGAAGGTATCGTTGGCCTTGACCAGACTGTCTAATGAAGACAAGAGAAATTGTACTGAATCTATGAACCTAAGGCCGTTTAAGCTGAAGGAGATGTATCTCTCCATGTTGTTGGGAATGCACGTTATATTACCATCGATTTTCGCGATGGCCTGCATGATTAAGTGAGAGTCGTACCCTCTCAAGTTGTGAAAGACAACGGGGATGTTTATTGTCTTAGGGGTGATTCTAAGCTTGAGGTTACACATGCTGTGAGCCGCGCCTCTATACTTACCGGTTACGTGGCAGTGATCTCTCACCGAATCACCATTCAGTGGTGAGTCACACACGTGACAGTTAGTGCTACATGCGTGAGCTAGCCTATCGGCTCGGGTCATACGCATTGGAGCGACTCTATACAGTGCATTCCTAATAATTTTTTCTTCCTCCTGCAAACACTTTAGAAACCTTTCAGCCGCGTCAGGGCCCCTATACACTACCGGAGCTTTCGTTTCCCCGTCACAACGGACGACAATGTATCCAAACCCACAGGCTTCATGCTCTTTGTGTTTGTGGGTGAAGCTCTGGTTGGGGTATCCCCAACTGTGGGGGTATCCCCAGGGCCGGCGGCAGCCTCAACTGGTTTGACCAAGGCTTCAAAGTCAGCGTATATGATATAAGGCACGGACATTTGGTGCTTGTGGTTGCCGAATTTTAGGATATTGTCACCTTCCTCAGGCATGTCGACCCGTATGGCCGTCTGCCCCACACCTTGGCAATCCTCCCGGTGGGATTCTAATAAATCAGCTCGGCTGAAACCGTGTAGGCATCGCACACAAAAGTGTTTTTTCCCATCGTGTTTCGACTGGTCGTGCAACAACCGGCTGAGATGTTTTATCCACGTGTAGTGATACTTTTCACCTCGTTGGATCATGAATATATTGATAACGCGAGGGGGGTTTTCCCCTTGGGGTTTCCCCAACACTGGGCTAACCCTGTGCACTATTGTTGTGTCGCCTTCGTGCCCAAAGACATTTATAGCTAGATTATTCTGTTTTTCTACTTTAGTGATCTGGGATATGGGGGTTGGTTCATCTATACCATCCCAGTTGAGCCCATCATCTTGGGGATAGCTAGAAAGCCTGTCTGAATGAGTGTCAGCTGGAAACAAGGCTGACCTGATAGCTACCCTCAGGCAATCGTCTCCTCTATTCTTAACGTTTACCATAGCCTGTTTTTTCCTATAGTAGGGGGCAAGTCTAGGTATGACCCGCCTCTGAAAGGCACGTAGTTAGCTATGTCTAGATAGACATTATCGATTTTATCTACAGTCCACCCGGACCCCAAGTGTGTGTAGCGTTCTAGGTATTCTCTTATCTGCTGAAAACTAGTATCGATTGATGCGTCAATGGTCTCTATATGGGTCACGACCTCTTGTTTACCCCGGAAGTAAGGCTGAACGTACTCAGTGACACCTCCCCCCACGTTCTTATCGAGCGACATTTTCACTGTGATTTGGAATTTGATACTTCCTAGACTGGCTAGTTCCTGGTTGACCTTATCAGCTATCAGAGGCTTGAGGTCTGTAATGTCTATGTTCCTATCAACATGCATACGCCAGCCTCTCAAATAGTTGCCTACAGCGCGCTCAGTGGGTACGAACTGTAGGTCGACAGCTCTATTCTGCCGTAACAGTTCTACAAGCTGTGGCTTTCTCATTCGGGAATATCCCCCTAACCCCAAATCACGTGCCTCGGTTTTCAATTGTTTTACAGTGGGAGGTTTTGCTACGGGGGGCATGTGATAACAATGCGATTAACCCGGCTCTCCCCAGGTTTGAATAACCCGTGAATCCAAGCTGTTTTGCTTGAGCTTTTAATTCTTTTACCGTAGGAGGGGCTTCTAAACCTAGTAATCTCAACAATGCTGGTTTTCGCATGCGAGAATACCCGATCACGCCTCTCTGTCTTGCGATTTGTTTG